CTTCCTCCTCCTCCTCTTCTCTCCCTGCTGCCCCCCTCCTCCTCTCCTCTTCCTCCTCCTCCTCTTCTCTCCCTGCTGCCCCCTCCTCCTCTCCTGGCTCCATCTGTCTCTGGTTCATCGTCTTTCTGCTCTGCTGAGCAGGAGTTTGGAGAACCACATGTGTCTGTGATTGGCGGCTGTGTGGAGGACGGCGCTCCCGTGCGCTGGATGGAGGCCATGGTGATAATCCCTCAGTTATGACTTCACGTGTGGAGTTCCAGCTGCAGGAATAATAAACATGATTTTAACATGTGGAGGTATTAAATGGTAAATGGCCTGTATTTATATAGCGCTTTTCTAGTCCCTAAGGACCCCAAAGCGCTTTACACAACCTGTCATCCACCCATTCACACACTGGTGATGGCAGCTACAATGTAGCCACAGCCACCCTGGGGCGCACTGACAGAGGCGAGGCTGCCGGTTATTTTGTTTTCCTTGTGAGGTCATCGGAGGTTCAGGTGATGTCACGCTTGTAGCGGGGCCTGGGTGGATGAATCTACAGGTGTGCTTTAGGTGTGGCAGACTTCTTGGGATGTTGTCGGGAATGTTTTTATCCTGGATGTTGAACACAAGTAACACTCAGGTTATCTGAGGAGTGGGTGGGAACAGATGTACTGAAGCCTCAGCTTTGATGGAGGAACCTTCACTCCTCCTCCTCCTCCTGCTGCCTCCATTCATTTCCTGAGCTGACTGAACGACCCAGAACGTGGCTCTGCGCCACACGTGCACATGTGACACTGATGGGATGATGAAGGTGCTGAAAGCGAGAACATCTTTCAGGCACTCATCATCATGTTCACACTAATGTGTATGAATGAGACATCAGCGCGGTGACACTTAACGCACTCCTTTCACCTGCCCCTCATGCATGGTCCCTGCCCCGGCTCTCTCAGCGTCTGTGCAGCACCACAGCACGCTTTACCTCCGAGTGAGGGGTCAGAGTAGGGGTGGCTTTTTATAATCGATTTATCGATTAAAATCGATTCTGGCTTGGATAACGTGAAATCGATTCATTAAAATCCTGAATCGATTTTTTAATATAAATTTATTTTGCCCGAAACGCCAGAATCTCAATTTCAACAACCACCAAACAGCTAAGACAGTAAACGAGAGCAGGAACAGGCTTCTGCACAGAGACGTAAACACACAGCGTGGACCCGCGGATCAGAATCAGTGAGACGTGACTTTCTCACCCGACGGCACGGACACGGTCGGGGCTGAAAGCCGACAGCTCGCTGATTCTGATGCGTTGCCGGGTCCGCGCTTTGTGTTCACGCCATTTTTGCGCTGATTCTAAAGCTGTTAGTTTGATGTCTCCAAACATTATTGACCGAACCAGCAGCAAAAGAAGATCCAAACTACGAAACCCCTTTTTTTTCCGTTTTACATACTTCCGAAAAGAAAACCTAATTTCTGCCGTTCAATACTGAACAAATTTAAACTTTCTAAAATTATGGAAAATGCAAAACGTTGTGTCTCTAATAAAACCGCTGCAACTCAGAGGTAACGTTCATGTGTTGATTCAAGGTTTTCTTTCGTTTTTGATCTACTGCAGAATATTTGTATAAAATCCAGGCCAGGAAAAATCACCTTCATGTTTTTCTGTCTTTTCTTCTGCTACTTTGACACAAAGGCCTCTGCTGTGACGCTCACACCTTTGATAAAGTCTGGAAAGTGTCAGCTTCCTTTTTATAGATACAAAAATATGTAAATGTACTGAACTGAATTCTAATATTTCTGACTGTCAAAATTTCCCAGATTCAAAGCAAATTGAATCGTGGATCGAATCGATTGGGAACCTTGTGAATCATTCTAGAAATCAGTGACGATACCCAGCCCTAGGTCAGAGGCCTCTTCATGCTCACAGGTGAGCCTTTATTCTCCTTTTGGGCTCGAATGAGACTGAATTTCCAAATTAAACATGTTTTATTCAGAATGAAATTAGCTTGAGAACATAAACCCACCAGGAAGGTGTGCACAGAGCAGTAACACGGGCTTACGATCCAGCACGTCGCCCCCTGCTGGTCATTATTATGATTTCAGGGTTGAGGCTTCGCCTTGCAGTGCGTGTGCTACGCTTCTTCTACTTCCAAAAACTCAGCAGCCATGATGGCTGTCTCCAGCTCGTGTTCTCACTTCATTCAGTTTGAGAAACTCGAGGAGTTTTTAAACGATCCT